CGCGCGCGCCGTTACTCAGCCGGGCGCGCGACGCGCGGGAACAGGCGGTGTGGGCGGGGCCTGGCCAAGCCCCGCCCCTGCCCCGTCACATCCCCGCAGCTGACTGCGCGAGTTGCGGTGGTTTCCGGTTCAGGGCTCGTTGCACCGCTTCGTCTTGCGTTGCCGGACGGTTCCCCAGCCCCCCTCGGAGCCTCGCCCCTGCCGCCGCCATGTGAGTGCGGGTCCCGGAGCGGCTCAGCGCCAGCTGCCGTAGGGCCGGGCCTGCAGGGAGCTCGGGGGTCGGACGGCGGGAGCTGCCCGGTGCCCCCCTTCCCGGGCGGGAGGCTGCCGCGGGCGGCCCTGCGGGGGCTGCGGGCGCCGGGTGGGCCTGGGGGCGCGGCGCCGCGCCGGAGGGGGGAAGCCGTTAGTGTCCCCGTGACAGGCCTGGGCGTGTCCCTGGGCCGCTGCTCAGCGCACGGACCTGGGCCGGGCAGGGTGTGGCCGGGCCCAACGGTCACGTTCTGCTCTGTGTGGGCCGAGCCGTGGTAGCCCGCGGCATTGCCCGCTCCCGCGCTGCTGCCGGCCGGCCGGTGGCATTGCCCTGCAGGCGGGCCGGGCACGCCTCTCCCTGCGCCGCGGCTGGGCACTGGAGCCAGGGTGGATCCATGCCGGGTCTGGTGGGCACAAGTCACAGCTATTGTACGGGCGGTGTGTGGACAGGGGACGTGGCGGTACAGCTGGAGTCGGGTCTGCACACCAGTGTGTCTCACAGGATCCTACCACCACAGCCGCTCTCTGCTTTCTAACGTGGCCGCTGCTATCACCCACTTGTTGTGTTCTGTCTTCTAACTCTGGGCAGGAAGCCGTACAGACAGCATTAACTTCATTTACCTCGGTGTTCCCTAGAGTAGTGATTGTTGAGTCGCAAGGGGTTTACTAAGTCACAGAAAACTCATGCTTTCTTGCTGTATGCCTCTTAAAGGTGGTGATAGATGTGACTTCTGTAAGGGCTGCCTTTACAGAGTAAGAAAGAGTAAAATACGAATGGCATTAGATCTTTTAACTTTCTGTGGGTAGTGTGGTTGGGGATTTTTTTCCTGTCAAATGACAAGAGCTTTTTTAAAAGGCTTAGCACCAGTGAAAGGAATCTGGGAATTTATATATTCCTTCCTGTCCACAAAACTGGTAAATCATGTATTGTGACTTTTACAGACAGCTTGATGCTGTGCTGTTAAACGACTTCTATGCTAGCCAGTTCATCTTAGGTTGACAAAAATTAAGCAAAATGTTCTTTATTTCTAGATTATAGTGTGCAGGGATGGTAAGCTCTGTGATTCTGCTTAGACTCCAGTGTTTTAAAAATGAACATAGGCACTCTTCTGAGCCACTCGCTAGCGATTCAGGGAGCCTTTTAAAATATACCAGCAAAAAAAAGCCTTTTATTTCTTTGGCCTTACCAGTTGGGAGGGAGGGGGAGGTATTGTGGGATTGTTTATTTTGTTTTGGTTTTGTACTGTTTTATTTTATGAACTAAAGGAACCTGGTTATTTGGTGCTGTTTTTAAAAGATGGTATATAGTGTGATGGAGTATTCATTCTGTAAATTGGCCACCAGAGGGTGTTTATAGTGACAATAGTACTTTGAGCAGTGAAAAAAGTATTAAAGCATTTTAAAATGAAAGAGAGAGAGAGAGAGAATCAGGGGATAGTTCAAAGATTTCTCCTAAAATAGCTGCTACAACAAACACTATCTTGGTCCAGAAAGGACCATTTTGATCATCTAGTCTTACTTTCTGCATTGTACTATCCAAAGAACTGCATCAAGTCTATAATTTCTGTTGGAGCTATAGCATAAGAATGACCACACTGGGTCAGACCTATGGTCCATTTAACCCAATATCCTGTCTTTTGATAGTGGCCAGTGTCAGATGCTACAGGGAATGAACAGAACAGGGCAATTGCAAGTGATCCATCCCATCATCCATTCCCAGCTTCTAGAGGTTGGAGGTTTAAGGACACCCGGAGCATGGGGTTCTATCCCTGACCATATTGGCTAATACCCATTGATGGACCTATCCTCCCTGAACTTACCTGATCCTTTTTGGAATCCAGTTAAACTTTTGGCCTTCACAGCATCCCCTGGCAATACGTACTAGAGGTGGAGTGTGCACCCTGTGAAAAAGTATTTCCTCTTGTTTAAAACCCGCTGACTATTAATTGGATTGTATGACCCTGGTTCTTATGTTGTGTGAAGTGAATAAGGATGTGTTATTTATCCCTTTCTCCATATTATTCATCATTTTATAGACATCGGTCATAACTCCCATAGAATCATAGAGCTGGACGGGACCTCAAAAGGTCATCTAGTCCAGTACCCTTCACTCGTGGCAGGACTAAGTATTAACTAGACCATTCCTGACAGGTGTTTGTCTAACCTGCTCTTAAAAATCTCCAATGATGGAGATTTCACAACCTCCCTAGGCAATTTATTCCAGTGCTTAACTACCCTGACAGGAACTTTTTCCTAATGTCCAACCTAAACCTCCCTTGCTGCAATTTGAGCCCATTGCTTCGTGTCCTATCCTCAAAGGTTAAGAAGAACAATTTTTCTTCCTCCTCCTTGTATATAAAAGGTTGTTACTTGAAAACTCTTATCATGTCCACTCTGATTGCCAGATTTCTTTCCGCGGTATTCCTTCCTAGGCAGTCATTTCCCATTTTGTATGTGTGCAACTGATTGTTCCTTCCTAAATGGAGTACTTTGCATTTGTCCTTATTGAATTTCATCCTATTTACTTCAGACCATTTCTCCACTTTGTCCAGATCATTTTGAATTTTAATCCTATCCTCCAAAGCACTTGCAACCTCTCTCAGCTTGGTATCATCTTCAAATTTTATAAGTGTACTCTGTATGCCATTATCTAAATCATTGATGAAGATATTGAACGGAACCGGACCCAGAACTGATCCCTGTGAGACTCCACTCGTTATGCCCTTCCAGCATGACTGTGAACCCCTTATAACTACTCTCTGGGAATGGTTTTCCAGCCAGTTTTGTACCCACCTTATAGTTGCTCCATCTAGGTTGCATTTCCCTAGTTTGTTTATGAAAAGATCATGTGAGACAACATCAAAAGCTTATATACCACTTCTACCGCTCCCCCGCACCCACCCACAAGGCTTGTTACCCTGTCAAAGAAAGCTATCGGGTTGGTTTGACACGATTTGTTTTTGACAAATCCATGCTGACTGTTACTTATCACCTTATCTTCTAGACGTTTGCAAATTGATTGCTTAATTATTTGCTCCATTATCTTTCTGGGTTCAGAAGTTAAGCTGACTGGTCTGTAATTCCCTGGGTTGTCCTTATTTCCCTTTTTATAGATTGGCACTATATTTGCCCTTTTCCAGTCATCTGGAATCTCTCCCATCTTCCATGACTTTTCAAAGACGCTCACTAATGGCTCAGATATCTCCTCAGTCAGCTCGTTGAGTATTCAAGGATGCATTTCATCAGGCCCTGGTGACTTCAAGACATCCAATTTGTCCAAGTAATTTTTATCTTGTTCTTTCGCTATTTTAGCCTCCTCTGATCCTACCTCATTTTTACTGGCATTCACTATGGTAGATGTCAAATCACCACCAACCTTCTTGGTGAAAACTGAAACAAAGTAGTCATTAAGTACCTCTGCCATTTCCACATTTTCTGTTGTTATTTTTTCCCCCCCCTCATTGAGTAACGGGCCTACCTTGTCCTTGGTCTTCCTCTTGCTTCTAATGTATCTGTAGAATGTTTTCTTGTTACCCTTTATGTCTCTAGGTAGTTTGATCTCATTTTGTGCCTTGGCCTTTCTAATTTTGTGGCTATCTACTTGTATTATTTGTTTATATTCATCCTTTGTAATTTGACCTGGTTAAAAGATAAGAAAAAAAGGGTAGGTATAAATGGACAGTTTTCAGAATGGAGAGAGGTAAATAGTGGTGTCCTCCAGGGGTCTGTTCTGGGACCGGTCCTATTCAACATATTCATAAATGATCTGGAAAAAGGGGTAAACAGTGAGGTGGCAAAATTTGCAGATGATACAAAATACTAAAGATAGTTAAGACCCAGGCAGACTGCGAAGAGCTACAAAAGGATCTCTCAAAACTGGGTGACTGGGCAACAAAATGACAGCTGAAATTTAATGCTGATAAATGCAAAGTAATGCACATTGGAAAGCATAATCCCAACTATATATATAAAATGATGGGGTCAAAATTAGCTGTTACCACTCAAGAAAGAGATCTTGGAGTCATTGTGGATAGTTCTCTGAAAACATCCACTCAATGTGCAGCGGCAGTCAAAAAAGCAAACAGAATGCTGGGAATAATTAAGAAAGGGATAGATAATAGGACAGAAAATATAATGTTGCCTCATATAAATCCATGGTACGCCCACATCTTGAATACTGTGTGCAGATGTGGTTTCCCCATCTCAAAAAAGATATATTGGAATTGGAAAAGGTTCAGAAAAGGGCAACAAAAATGATTAGAGGTATGGAACGGCTTCTGTATGAGGAGAGATTAATAAGACCTGGGACTTTTCAGCTTAGAAAGGAGACTGCTAAGGGGAGATATGATTGAGGTCTAAAATCATGACTGGTGTACAGAAAGTAGATAAGGAAGTGTTGTTTACTACTTTTCATAACACAAGAATTAGGGGTCACCAAATGAAACTAATAGGCAGAGAATTAAAACAAATAAAAGGAAGTATTTCTTCACACAATGCATAGTCAACCTGTGGAATTCCTTGCCAGAGGATGTTGTGAAGTCTAAGACCATAACAGGGTTCAAAAAAGAACTAGATAGATTCATGGAGGATAGGTCCATCAATGGCTATTAGCCAGGCGGGGCAGGAATGGTGTCCCTAGCCTCTGTTTGCCAGAAGTAATTCCTGCCCATCCTGGGCACCTGGCACCTGCCCATCCTGGGGCACCTGGCACTGGCCACTGTTGGAAGACAGGATACTGGGCTAGATGGACTTTTGGTCTGACCCAGTAGGGCCATTCTTATGTTCTTACGTATGACCTAGTTTCCACTTTTTGTACAACTCTTTTTTGATTTTTAGATCATTGAAGATCTCCTGGTTAAGCCAGGGTGGTCTCTTGCCATACTTCCTATCTTTCCTATGTAGTGGGATAGCTTGCTCTTGTGCCCTTAATAATGTCTCTTTGAAAAACTGCCAACTGTCTTCTCTTGTTTTTCCCCTTAGACTTGCTTCCCATGGGATCTTACCTACTGACTCAGAGTTTGCTAAAGTCTGCCTTCTTGAAATCCATTGTCTTTATTTTGCTGTTCTCCCTCAATGATTCTAAGGCAGAAGTGGGCAAACTACAGCCTGCGGGACCCTCCTGCCCGGCCCCGGAGGCTAGCCCCTGGCCCCTCCCCTGCTGTTCCCCCTCCCCCACAGCCTCCGCTCGCTCCGCTGCCAGTGCAATGCTCTGGGCGGCGGGCGGCAAGATCCTGGGGCGGTGCAGCTGCAGAGCCCGGCCTGACCCGCTCCAGGCAGTGTGGTAAGGGGGCAGGGAGCAGGGGGGTTGGATAGATGGCAGGGGAGTTCGGAGGGGGGCTGGTCAGGGGGCAGGGGTGTGGATAGGGGTCGGGGCAGTCAGAGGGTGGGGAACGGGGGGGTTGAATGAGGGCAGAGGTCCCAGGGGGGAGGGGCGGCAGTCAGGAATGAGAGAGGGGTTGGATGGGGCGGCGGTGGGCGATCAGGGGTGCGGGTTCCAGGGGGGCGGGGCATGAGGGGGCGAGAAGCTGGGAGAGGGTGGCGGCGGGCCATGCCTGGCTATTTGGGGAGGCACAGCCGCCCCTAACCGGCCCTCCATACAATTTCTGAAACCCACTACAAAAAGTTTGCCTACCCCTGTTCTAAGGAATGGCAGAAATTTATAACTTCATGATCACTTCAGTCATCTCTTTTCCAAGCTGACTAGTCCCAGTCTTTTTTTTTGTCTGTCTTCATATGAAAGCTGTTACATACCTCCTGATCATTCTTGTTGCCCTTCTCTGTACTTTTTCTAATTCTAATATATCTTTTTTTGAGATGGGGTGACAGTAACTGCATGCATTATTCAAGATGTGGGCATACCATGGATTTATATAGCAGCGTTATGATATTTTTTCTTATTGTCTATCCCTTTCCTAATGCTTACTAACATGGTTAGCTTTTTTTGACTGCCACTGCACATTTAGCAGATGTTTTCAGAGAACTGTCAATGATGACTCCAAGATCTTTCTTGAGTAGTAAGAGCTAACTTAGACCCCATCATTTTGTATGTATAATTGTTTTCCAATGTACATTTATCAACACTGAATGTCATCTGCCATTTTCTTGCCCATTTACCCAGTTTAGTGAGATCCCGTTGTAACTCTTCACTGTCAGCTTTGGGTCGTCTGCAAACTTTGCCACCTCACTGTTCACCCCTTTTCCATATCATTTATTAATATGTTGAACACCACTGATCCCAGTACAGATCCTTGAAGGACCGTGCTATTTACCACTTTCTATTGTGAAAACTGACCATTTATTCCTACCCTCTATTTCTATTTTTTTAACCAGTTATTGCTCTATGAGAGGACCTTCCCTTTTAAGCAAACTAAGCAGTCATGGGATAAAAACCTTTTGTTGCAGGAACTTGTCAAAGGCTTTCTGAAAGTCCAAGTACACTGTCAACTGGATCACCCTTGTCCATATGCTTGTTGACTCCCTCAAAGAATTCTAATAGATTGGTGAGGCATGATTTCTCTTTGCAAAATCCACGTTGATTTTCCTCAACATATTGTGGTTATCTAATGTATCTGATAGTTCTGTTCTTTACTACAGTACCAAGCACATTGGTTGAAACTAAAGTTATGCTTACCAGCTTGTAATTGGCAGGATCACCTCTGGAGCTGTTTTTAAAAATCAGTGTTACGTTAGCTATCCTGCAGTCATCTAGTACAGAGGCTGAGTTAAGTGGTAGGTTGCATACCACAGTTAATAGTTTTGCAACTTTATATTTGAGTTCCTTCAGAACCATCTGTTCCTGGTGACTTACATCTGTTTAATTTCTCAATTTGTTCTAAAACCACCTCTATTGACACCTCAATCTGGGACAGTTCCTTAGATTTGTCATCTAAAAAGAATGGTTCAAATGTGGAGACCTTCTCCACATCCTCTGCAGTGAAGACCAGTGCAAAGAATTCCTTTAGCTTCTCCAACAGCCTTATCATCCTCTAGCACCCCAATTGTCAAGTGACCCCGCTGACAGTTTGTTTGGAAGACTTCCTGCTTTTGAAGTAGTTAACAAAAACAACAACTTTTTTGTTTGTTTAGCTAGTTGCTTTTCACATTCTTTTTTGACCTGTGGCCTTATACTTTTACACTTGATTTGCCAGAGTTTATGCACCTTCCTATTTTCCTCAGTATGATTTGACTTCCAATTTTTAAAAGGATGCCTTTTTGCTTGTAACCATGTCCATGCAGTTTTCAGGCATTTCACCTTTGACTTTTCCTTTTAATTTCCATTTAACCAGCTTCCTCAGTTTTGTGTAGTTCCCCTTTTTAAAACATATCCAGTCTTGATTTAAAGACTTCCAAGAGATGGAGAACCCACACATCTCTATGTAAGTAGCTTTATGTTTGACACCTGAGGCCCAGTTGGTGTCCTGTCCAGTGTCCTATCTAGAATTGTGTTCATAATCAATATTGAACAGTGGTACAGCAAGCAAATGATAAAGTAGATCAGGGGTTCTCAACCTTTTTCTTTCTGAGGCCCACCCAACATGTTGTTAAAACTTCACGGCCCACATGTGCCACAGCAACTGTTTTCTGTATATAAAAGCCAGTGTTTTGCTGCATATAAAAGCCAGGAACAATGTCGGGGGTAGCAAGCAAGGCAATTGCCCGGGTCCCCATGCCACAGTGGGCTCCCACCAAGCGAAGTTGCTCAGGCTTTGGCTTCAGCCCCATGCAGTGGGGCTTTGGCTTTCTGTCCTGGGCCCCACAAGCCTAATGCTGGCCATGCTTGGCGAACCCCCTGAAACCTGCTTGCGGTCCCCCCAGGGGCCCCAGACCCCTGCTTGAGAACCACTGTTGTAGATGTCTTATGTGTACAAACTGTAAATGTGCCTGTTCTTCTTCCTCCATTAAGGGTACACAAGACAAATCAGACTCCTGAAAGGTGTACAGTAGTCTGGAAAGGTTGAGTCCCACTGCTCTACAGGGCTTCTTTCACCTTCTTCTGAAACATCTGGTACTGGCCACTGCCTCTGTATTCCGTGGTGAACTTTTAGGAGAACAAGCAGCGTGTGTGTTGCATGCTTCCAATAACTGACACAATCTTTTTCTGAGTTTAGTAGCTTCCAAAAAGAATTTAAATTCCCAAATTCAACAAAGGGAAAAAAGTGCACACAAGCTCATGTGCTTTTTATTGCAAAGGGGTGGGGGGAGGAATCCCTAAACCCATGTTCTTGGCCAATCAAGAGCAACTATACATTACACTCTGAGCTGTAGTGCCGCTCTTCTCTCTCCCACGTGCTTCTCTGCTCTCCAGTGGCATTGCAGCCATTCATTGGTGGCAAGTTTGGAACAGCTGTCTGAATTCTATGGCTAAAGTTTGCTGCTGAAGCATCACTCCTCCACTGCAAAAGAAATCTAACTTTCTTCAGCTGCATTTTAGCTCCTTGGGAATGTCCTGCCTTTCTTTGTTATGACCATAGGTATTTACATTTATTTTCACTGGTTTGTGGACCCTTTGTTTGCAAATTACCAAGCATACTTCTAGGTGGTATATAAATGTAATTAACTATATGATATCATAGTGTAACTGTCTCTACACTGCAGGTCAACAAGTGGCCCTGGAAGCTCAAGTAATGCCTCTGGCAGTAATCGTCGCCTTCAGCAGACACAACACCAAGTAGATGAGGTATGGCTCTTGTATAGAGCAGCTTTACTATTCCTTTGACTTTGGGAAATCTGACAGAGGAAAGACATATGGAAGCGTTGTGTGGGCAAAGTTTAAAGTTGTCTGCTTCAGTGTATGAAACAAAAGCTAGAATGTCTTCATCATTTGTCCCTCTTGCGATCTGAACTATCATCTTGAGACTCATTGCAGGAAACCTGTGATACTTTCCAGGTGTTGCCCTGCTCCTGCAGAGATGAATATCTTGTGAGCCAATGTGTTAGCTACACAACTCCGGTTGGTTTCTGACAGAGAATGAGCTTTGCTATTTGGAAATCCACAATTGCCAGGGGTTTCTAGTTGTGTATCAAAACTATGGCAAAACTTTCTGTGTGAGCCAAAAACCATCTTTGGCTGAGACAGGGTAGCACATAACTTCCTTTTCAGAAGTCATAGGTGCTTGTAGTTATGTTCCTGAAAAATGCTACTTTAAGCGAAACGATGTTAAGTGAATCCAATTTTCCCCATAAGAATTAATGTAAATGGTGGGGAGGGAGGTGCTAAGTTCCAGGGAATTTTTTTTTGCCAGACAAGACTATATATATATATATATATATATAAAAAATACACTTACACACAGTAGAAGTTTTAAACAATTTAATACTGTACACGGCAATCATGATTGTGAAGCTTGGTTGAGGTGGTCTAGTCAGAGGGCGGGATATTTCCCAGGGAATGCCTTACTGCTAAATGATGAACTAGCACTCGGCTGAGCCCTCAAGGGTTAACAAGTTGTTGTTGTTGTTAATGTAGCCTCACATGCTACAAGGCAGCACGAATGGAGGGAGGAGACACAGCTCTGTGTGTGTGTGACAAGCATTGCCCCTTTAAGTACACTGACCCCACTCTAAGTACACTGCCTTTTTAAGTAGATCAGCAAGTTGAGACAGCCGCTGCTGTCAGCAAGCTCCCTCTGTCCTGAGCCCTGTCGTGTTCTCCCCCCCGCCTTCTCTGCCCCCCCCCCCTGCTGCACAGCAAGCAGGAGGCTCCTGGGAGCAGCTCCAAGGCAGAGGGCAGGAACAGCACATGGCAGTGCGGGGAGGGACAGCTGCCACACAGGGAACTTAGGGGAGCTGTTGTGGGGCTGCCGGTTCACCCTGGTTCCAAGCACCCAACAGGCTGCTCTTTCTGCAAGCAGTGGACAAAGCAGGTGGCTGCCAAACAATGTTCTAAGGGAGCATTGCACAACTTTAAACGAGCATGTTCTCTAATTGATCAGCAACGTAACAGCGTTAAGTGAGGAGTTACTGTGGTGTTCAAATGTGGCCTCCATAACTGAGTTATGGCCTCCATAACTGAGTTTTTCTTATACAGTTCTGACCCTTCTCTAACATGCTAGATTATTAGTGGAATACTTTTGTTCAGTAGGAGTAAGTTTATAAACAAAGTTTCTGATATTGAAACCCCAAGGCAGGCACTGGGAATCTCCAACTCCATTACTTTGGCCTGGTCTATACTGGGGGGGTCGATCTAAGTTACGCAACTCACGTAGCTGAAGTCGACGTACTTAGATCGACTTACCGCGGTATCTTCACTACAGTGAGTCGACTGCTGCCACTCCCCTGTCAACTCTGCCTGCGCCTCTCGTCGAGCTGGTGTACAGGAGTGGACGGGAGAGCACTTGGGGATCGATTTATCGCGTCTAGACTAGACGCGATAAATCAATCCCCGCTGGATCGATTGCTGCCCGATGATCCGGCTGGTATTGAAGACATACCCTAAGTTCCACAAATCTTTTAACTAATTTAAGAACCTAAGTTCAGTATTGTCTACTGTTGTTCAAAAAGGCAATATCTTCTGCTTTATTTAAAAACAAACGCTTGAATGTTGTTAATGTTATAAAAGATGTTGGTCAGGATCTGCTGCACGCTTAGTGTTCAAGGAATGAATAACTTACTGTGACTATTAAATCACTGTAGGTGGTTGACATCATGAGGGTGAATGTGGACAAGGTTTTGGAACGAGATCAGAAGCTGTCAGAGCTGGATGACCGTGCTGACGCACTGCAGGCAGGAGCTTCCCAATTTGAGACCAGTGCTGCCAAGCTGAAAAGAAAGTATTGGTGGAAGAACTGTAAGGTAACCATGACTCGAGTATTTCCAATACAAATTAATGTTACTAAGAACTATAAGTAGCTGAATACTACATAAAGGGGAAGAAATCCAGGTGACTTTAACCATGAAAACACATGGCCAATTGCTGTAGCCTTTACTCATCGTGAATAGTATTTAAGATTACAACATCTGGTCCTTAATGAGCATCTTTCTTAGTGAAGTAGATGAACTGGCCAAAAGTTGGGTGGCCTGGCCACATTCCTTTACACAAAACATTCTCCAGGGCAGAAATGTGGCCAAGGATAAATGAATGTACTAATTTAAGGTGTTGGAGATCTAGGAGGAAGAAATTCAGTGATATGGATTGAATGACAACACAGACACAGCACTACAAAGAACCTTTAGTCTCTTGCAGTCATGTCAGCTAATTGCAGGAAGGCCTGGGAGCACACTCTTTATTTGCTGAGAAGCCAAGACAGAGTGTAGAACATTAATTGTAAGGCAGGGGAGCAGTAGTTTGCCCTCTTTTCAAAATATCTAAGTGAGTTGTTTGTACTAAATGATGTGCTTTTTTTAACAGATGTGGGCAATATTGATAGCAGTTGTTCTCATCATTATCATCATCATCATTGGTAAGTATTTAGCTAAAGCACCGTTTTGTCAGTAGGACTAGCGTACATGGGGCATAAGACTGTAAATTGAATGCAAAAAGTTGTTAATGTAACGCTCTCTGGGTGTGACTGCTAGTACATAGGTCATAATATTCAAAAGTTAAGGTTCACACAGTAACGCTAACTTAGCCATATTGCATGCTTGACATATGCAGTAGTCCAAAGGAATACTTGCGCTGCTAAATTAATGTTTGAACGTAATCTGTGTGATGTGGTGAAGTTATGGCTTCTGTGGGAACCTTAACTGTTGAATCTCAGGCTCTTGCGCACTGAGTAGAAATGGGATCCCGCAGGAGGCTGGGACCCCTGAGTCCCAGTCCCAGCTCTGCCAGTGACTGTGAGAGTGACCATGTCACTTGATCACTTCTTTGCCTCAATTTCTCAATCTTTAAAATGGGGATAATGACGCATACCTCACAGGGGTTTCCGAAGAGTAACATGAAATGCGTTGAGAACCTTAGCTGACGGGAGCTGTGGACATACACATTTCTCAAATTCATCTTTCATAGTATTTCTACATTTATTAATCCTTTAGGTTCCAGGTTCAATATCCTTATGTCACTTTTCTTTCTTGCAAAGCAGTCTGGCCCTCTTCTATTGGGTCACACCCTTTTCCTAATCCCAAAATGGGTACTCCAGCCAATCAGACTCCCCTTGCTGTCTTCCAGCCCAGAAGTCAGGCAAAACAAACAACAAAAAAAGTAGGGAAGCTTCATATGAGGTTCCTCCTCCAATCCTCAATAGTGCTTAGATAGCAAGGTAGTTAGGCCAGGTCTACACTGTAAACTTAAATAGTTATATCAATGTTGTGCAGGGGTGTATAAAATCCACAGCCGTGAGCGACGCAGTTATATCTACCTAACCCCTATTGTAGACAGTGCTGTGTTGACGAGAGCTTTTCCCTTCAACATAGCTACCGCCTCTCGTGGAAGTGGATTAACTATGCCAATGGGAGAAGCTCTCCCATCAGTGTAGTATTGTCTTCACTGAAGCGTTACAGTCCAGGCAAGAGCCTTGATCTGCCTAGCCTCACTTGAGTGCAGGAAACCCCACTGACTTCATGCACTAGCTCTCCTGCTGTAGCAGAAGCCTGGGGGGGGGGAGGAGGACAGTCAGTTCTCAAGGATTCATCACCGGTGAACAAGCTGTTTAAACAGAAGTATATTGCAGTAGAAGTTTTAAGAGGAAAGAAATTCATGCTCCCTTGTTTGATATCCAGATTTCACTTTTCCCAACTTCTGAATGTTGCCAGATGTACCCTTGTGTATACGATAGCCACAAGCCCTTTATTGTAACTGGTAACAAACCTATAAATACAAATGCAAGTGGAGATGTTTCTAGTGTGTGCAGGGAAGACTGTGGATTCATACTCTGGCCATAGTAGAGCCAGGGAGCTTATAACTAGTTACACTGCTTGGTGTTCAGCTGTTTGAATTTGTGATGTAGCTGTTAAAAAACTTTCCAGCAGGATTCACTTACTCTCGAGCTCTGACAGCGTATTCATTTCTCCCCTTTGGGCCTGTTTGTACCACAATCTACAGCAACTAATTGTGATGCTACAAACAGAATTGTGACCATAGGTGAGAAATACCCGGTACATGAATTCTAAAAGCCAGTCCTGTGCAAGAATGAAACTATCATAAAACAAACACAGGAAATTATTTAGAATTTCCTTATGTTGAATACTTTGATTGTTCAGTAGCTCAAGTCTTTAAGTTGCAGGATTGTTTTATGCCTCTTTGATGTGGGAGGGTGAGGGGAAGAGAACTGTTGCTTTTCCAATCCTTATTTTTCTGTTATAGTCTGGAGTGTGTCCTCATGAGTTACAAGAAGAAATGCAAACCAGCGGAAGCCATCTCTCTCCTTCAAACCTGCTGTATTCTCAAGCTCTCACCTACTGATGTATAAAGCAAAATTATTTTGATTAGTCATGTGTTAACTTTCTCTGGTTTATAGGAAATGTGCCTTTATTTAAAAGTTATACTCCTAATTTTAAAATGCTAATAAGCACAGCCCACAACTTGCACAGTGCCTTGGTAATCTTGAGTATGAGCTGGTGAAGAGGATTTCATGTTTGCATTTCAGAATCTAGAAGCAATGTATTGTTGCCAGTGACTACTGCATTCTAGATAAATTTGAAGAGTATGTTCGGGTATCTGTCCTCTTCGCTGTCTCTTCCGTGCCCCAATTTAAAAGTGTCTTTTCTGACACACTACTAAAGGGGTGGGAACCAAATCTCAAATTTGTGCCTTCTTGGAAGAAACTCTTAACACCTTTGCCATTTGAACAGACTTTGCCTGCCTTGTCTTACTCCATTAATGCCTTCTGACTGGTTGTGGAAGAGCCTGCCACCCTTGTAAACACTACTTGTCGTTCACTGCTGTTTTATGAATATGCAGTTAAATTCTATTCTTGAAGTTCTAAAGATTTGAGCACTGAACCATTAGTGCTGCCTTGTGGTATTTGTAATTAAACACTTCTTTATAAGGTGTTTACATTGTCTTCAAAAGACAGTCTGTCACTTTTTGGTGTCAGTTTAATCTAAAAGAGTACCTTTAAAAATGTTTAGTGTTTGTCATGTAGACGCTTACCAAAGTTGGTTTTGTTTGGGGTTTTTGTCTTTTGCCAAAAAGTAGTTCAGTGAAGGCTTTTCTCTGCAAGCCAGCAAGATGTTTCCAGTGTAGAATCAGTGCCAAATGTAGTTTAAAATTTTATATATATTTATATGTAAAATGTTTGCATTACTTCACAAATTGTCTTCCCTCTAAACTAGTCCTCAGAGTGAGTGTTCCCCTAGGACTTCAGGAAAGGCTGGTAACAAATGCTGTTGCCTCTTCCTTCTTATCGCCAAACTTTTTAGGTATGGGTGACTACTCTCCATGAGGAGGGAAAGAAATAACTTGGTGCTTCACCCATTGAGTCACCACTGTGTGTACTCTGTCTAATCTGTCTGTTTCTAATTTCTTCCCAGTCCTTGTTTCTACTTGTCTCTTTTTTCCTCCCTTACTTTTCAGGGTAGATTTGCAAGTAACTACACTGTGAAATTGATTCACAAACCTAATCAACATAGCCTACTTCTTTGAGTGTTGGATGTTGCTTTGGCTGTTATCATAAAAAATGAGCCAGACTCTTGATGGACAGCTACCAGAAAGATGTGACTGAGCACTCAGAGGGTGGCTAAGCCCAATGGTGGATCTGCTATCTAAGCACCTAGGGAGAAATATTGACCTCTTTACCCCAAAGTACAAGATGCTTTAGACTGGTTGTTTTTTTGTTTTTTTGTTTTTTTTTTTGTAGTGAGTGTTGTGGAAAGTTGCTCTGTTGGTTTATAATTAACTATCTAAGGCCTTGCCTGTTTCTCTGAGGATGAAGAGGGAGAGAAAGGCAAGGATTTCTGTGCCTACTGAAGTACTTTAATTTCTGCTCTAACTTCATCACTGTAGTGACTAAATGTACAAAGTCTGTTAAAATAACTCTACTGTATAAATGCATCATGGACCAGTAACAAAGCTAACTGTACAAACTGAAACCTTATTAACTCACAATTAAGAACATTTTTACTATGTTTAAGCTGCAGCTTTTAAAGGAATATCAACTCTGTACTAGTTCCTACACTTTCAGAGGTTTCTAAGTGTATGTCATCAGGCAGGCCTGTGTCCCTGCACTGTGCTGGCAAAGAGGCCTTTGTAACGTTTAATAAAGTGGCTTTTGAAACTTCCTCGTGTTCCCCCTCTGTGTGTGTGTGTGTGGGGGGGGGCGTTAGGGAGCAAGGTCTCTGCTGCCTTGCACTGCCGGGGCGGGCGTTGAGGGCAGAGTGGGCCAAAGGCGGTTGCCGAGCTGGGGCAGGCGGAGCCCCGCCCACTGTGAGAGGGACGTGGGGCGGGGCAGCTGGGCGCTGAGGCGATTGCGGCTCGAGCCCCGGCCAGTAGCGTCCCGCTGACGTTCTAGCCCCTCGGGGGTTGAGGGAGGGACTTCCTGAAAGCCGCTCTCCCCCGCTGCCCAAGTGAGTCTGCTAGGCTCCGCCCCCACTCGTATTGCCCTGTGGGAGCGCGGGGCGGCTGGCCCGGGGCCCAATGGGAGGAGGGGGCGGGGCCTACTCGCGTCGGGATGAGTGAGGACGGCGAGTGGAGGCAGCGCGTGGCCCGAGGCAGTGGGAGAGACCCCGCTGGCGGCTCGAGCCCGGGAGTGAGGGGGCGGGCCCGAGCTCTGGGGGCTGTAGCTACCGAAGCGACGGGCTGAGAGCAAGGGCTGTATAGCAGCCCCGGGGTGGGGGCTTAACTCTCTGACCTTGGGGGCTCTATGACCCCCCCC